TAGGGAGGGGGGCCGTGACGCTGCACTTGGTCTGCTGCAGCACGAGTGCCAAATGCCCCCCGCCGGCGCCTGCTGGCCACGTTCCCACGGGCCGCTCTCAGAGAGCTGGGCTTTAACTAGCCATTCAGGACCAGGCCCCTCGAACCCAGGTTTGTAGGAAAGAGGAGCAGCAGCGCAGAAACCGGGGCGGCTCCTGCGTTCGCACTGGCCTTGCGCTGCCTCCTCACCCCGCCATTCAGGACCAGGCCCCTCGAACCCAGGTTTGTAGGAAAGAGGAGCAGCAGCGCAGAAACCGGGGCGGCTCCTGCGTTCGCACTGGCCTTGCGCTGCCTCCTCACCCCGCTCACTGATTGGGGATGGGGATTAGCTCTTTCCCGCTGGAACGCCGCGGCTCCCCCTCCCATCTAGCCAGGGCCCCCTTCCACAGCTGCAAACCCCTGGGCCCTGCTCTCAGCCCCCAGGCTGGGAACCTCTGGGGCTAGGGTACTGAAGTAGGAGCCTGGTGACTTGGTGTCAGGCCCCAGACTGTCTCTGCAAGCCTGGGCAAGTCACTTGTCTTACACTCACATTCACAGAGGAGTTTAGGCTCCTACCTTGCACTGATTTCAAAGGACGTTGGGAAGTGAAATACTAGAGATGACTGGACCTTACTGGCTGAGCCTCAGTTCCCCCTGTGTGACATGGGGTTAGCACTGCTCTGCCTTCCTCTGCTGCAGAGCAGAGGAATTCGCTGGTGGCTGCGAGGGGCTCTCCGCCTGTGGGAGGTGCCTGGAGAACAGCAAGCTCTGTCACTAGGAAATAATGTATTTGCCAGAAATTGCCGTTTAGCCTCCTGTTTGCAAAGTTGCCTGCCAGCAGCGTGAGGCTGTCACGGGCAGCGGCTGTTTGAACTGGTGCGCGCTCGCCTGCAGGTCTGTCCCAAGTGGCAAGCCAGTCCGTTTCCACCGGGGTGGGTCTGCAAATCCCCGTTGCCCGCAAGGTTTGCACGGCAGAGCTGAACTCCATCCCTCACCCCCCATTCAGCATCGACCCTGAACCCGGGCAGAGACCGCTAATTAGCATGTCCGTAGGCTGGACTCTGCCCAGTGCTCAACCACATGCAGAGAAATATTCAGTATCCACACAGAGTACATGCTTATAACTCCACACACAGACATTATACAATCCCATGACTAGCGTACATAGGATCAGCAGACAGTAAGAGTCTATTCAACACCCCACATGGCCCCTTTTATACCATGTTTGGGGCCGACACCCCGCCTATGGGTGCAGCAGTGATCTGGCTGCTCCCCTCAAAATCCAGTAACGTGACACCCCCAATGCAAAATTGATGCAGGAGGTGATGCTGGTAACATCACTGAGGGCATCACAGGCCTCCCCATGCTTTGGCTCTTTGTCATCACATGTTCTACCCAATGTTAGAAACAACAGTACAGAGCTGGGTGAGTGTACGAGAGCCCAGTTTGCCTAAAATAGGCTTCGTTACTGCAAGGTCTGTTATAGCGACAACCACATCCTTGCATTGTCTTAGAATCCCCAGGTAAAACTTGGTAAAACCCAGAACTAATTGGATCTGCCTTTGTAGCAAGATCCCCATGTGTGTCAGGTGATTTTGCCCAGAGCTGAAGGAAATAGTGAATTTATCCAGGCCAGCTCTGGCAACTCTCTGAACAACAATTAACACTGTGTGAATGCAGGTATTCTCATCCCAAATAGTGTAGGCATTTTTGCACTTATCCATGAAAACAAAATGGTGGCGTGCCTCAGTTTCCCTTATCATGCAGCACCGTCTGGCTGGAACCTTCCTTGTCCTGTATGAAGTTCCAAGATCAGTTACAAGCATTAACCATGAAATATCAAAATCACAATGTCCTTTTACGTCCAGTCTGTCACTGGGCACGTTCCCTGACAAGTTACAAGGTGTTTCCATAAGCTCACGCCCATTGTAAACCTTTACAAGTCTCTGCAACAATACTACAGTGGTTACAAGAATTAACATCAGTAACAAGAACAATCCTATCTCAGGTGTATACTGACATTCTCCGTCAGGCCCCTTCTCTGGCCCCACACCATTGCAGTTTTGGCCCTTCAGGTTTAAACTGCAAATCTTCTTGGCCAAAGCAAGTCCTGCCCCTCCCCCTTGTCCTCTGGGCTCCAGGCCTGAAACCTCTGGCCTGACCAAGACAAAGGGCTGGCTGGGCGTGACTCCCTGGCTCACAATGGCCCTGGAATTCTCCCCCTTCCCCCACTCAGTGGGGTAACAGCAGTAAGCTGTAGACTCCCAAGTCTCTCCTCTGTCCCTCTCTAACCTCTGTTTCCACATGGAACCAGATATCAACCTCCCTGATTGAGACCTCTGGCCTGACCAAGACAATGGGCTGGCTGGGCGTGACTCCCTGGCTCACAATGGCCCTGGAATTCTCCCCCTTCCCCCACTCAGTGGGGTAACAGCAGTAAGCTGTAGACTCCCAAGTCTCTCCTCTGTCCCTCTCTAACCTCTGTTTCCACATGGAACCAGATATCAACTTCCCTGATTATGAGTGTCCACCGTGTCCAGAGATGGGAGCGTAACTGCCATCTCCTGCATCCTAGGGAGAGTGACCACACAGCTGTTCTGCTCTGCATACTTAGCTACCCAGCCCTTCTCCTGAATCTGAGACACTAACTTCCCACTCTCCTCCTTCACCTGGGAACAATCCTGTCCCACACACACTGACTTTCCAGCAAGCTGGTCACCCACAGTTACCCTGCCTCATCTGGAACAACCCTCCGTTCCTCTGAGACCTCTTTACACTCATCCACACTGGGTTTCTCTAAACCCAAGTCAGTGGAGTCACTGTTAACAGACAAATTCTGTCTGTCAGGCACCGAAACAAGTGCCTCACACACCAAGCTGCTGCCTTTTACAGGCAGAGCTTTCTCCTGAATGCCTTCTCCAAGCCAGGCATCGTCACCTCCCTCAGTCACAGCAAACTGCTTGCTACAAGCACTGCCAGGACTCTCCTCCCTATGAGCTTCCTTAAGCAGCAGTTCACCCTTCCCTGGCTCTGCAGTAGCATTGCCCTGCTGAGCCCCAACCAATTCCTCCTGCAATTCCCTTACTCCCTGAGTTATCTCTGGCCCCTCAGGTGGCTTCACAGATAATCCCCTCTCAGGCACACAGACAGACTCACAAGAGACAGGGTCAGAGGCATCTTCACTCCCTGTGCAGCTCTCTAGATGGCTGTAAACGTCCACACCCTCACTGTACCCGGGCTAAGGGGTCACCTGGTCCCACAGAGTCGGTCCCCCATCTTCCAGCAGCATCAGGCACAACATCAGTGTCACCACTGGCTCCTTCTGCTCCCACTGGGGATTCGGCAGCCCCAGTGCTGCAAATGCTCCATGCGCAGCACCCCACCGTGGCGGCTGTGGGGCAGTTGGCAGGTCGGCTCTCCGCCGGCGGAGCCGGGCACGGGCGCCCTGGTTAGCGAGTGGCCGAGCCATGCCACTGCTGTCCTTGTGCAAAGGGCGTTTTGCAGACTCCACCTCAGTGCAGAGAATGCTGCCTTCCCCCAGGGACCAGGAGGTGAGGCAAGCCCTGCCTCCCTCACACCAGAGCGCCACCCACGGCTCAGCAGCGCCTCCTGCTGGCTCCCCTGGGGCCCCCGCTCCCCACACCCTC